ATTATACCAGACCTCGTAGGTATCATCATCAATGCCATCACGTAATGGAAAGTTGAGAGCGTAATATTTTCCTTTCTCGGCTCCGATGTCCTTAAATGATTTAACACAGTTTGAAAATGGCGCAAATAGAGGATTCCCTTTTTGATTGTAAAGGAAAAAAACGGACAGTAAAGAGAATCTGACTAAAACATAGCACCAAGTTACATTAGACATACACAATTAACCCACACACAAATGCTAGACCTTTCGAAAAATTTGAGCAAGACCAACAACACCGCTGGGCTGTGACTTAGAAATAGTCGAAGGAAGATAACTTTGACTTACTCAAAAAGACAACCTTGTTCCCCAAGTCACCTTATTCCTGCGCATTCCTCTTGAAGCGAGGTCTTTTAACGCGCATTTGATCTTTAAATACACTATCGAGTGACTGGAATGCAGTAAATGCCATTGTGTGCCCATTTCCGCCACAGATGAATACGCCGTGTACCCGCAAAACGGGATAAATAAAATGAACACACTGAATTCAAAATACCTTAAGATCGCCGGTTCCTGGGAAATACTCCCCATACTTGTGGAACGACACCGTCATCACTCTATCGGTGGTGTAGAAAGCTTCTTCCACACCATCTCCATGATGAATATCGATATCAACGTAGAGAACACGCTGGAATTACTCAGTACACTTCTGAGATTTCAACGTGAAATAAGCAGTGATGTGCTCATCCAGCTCAAGAAAGAAGGTTGAGCAGCACACATAAAAGACTCACAGAGTTGATACAACGATTCCTATTTATCCTGAAAACCATTCAGAAGTGAGTAATCGAAACTGACTTGATGATGTTTGAGTAGCTCGAGTATGGCCAGTACTATGTCGTTACTGTAACAGAATCCACTGGCTTCACTCTTCTTCGCATGATGAAGACCACCCATCCAATTAATAGCAATATCAGCATGTTTGCGGTTGAGCTTTGTTGCAGCAGCTTGAGCAGGGAATTATTAGAAACAACATCAACCATGGCGGAACAGCAGAGAAATGCTCACCCAAAGATCCCCCACATGATAACTGGCAGAATTCGAAGACTCCATCGAATACAGGACAGTCCTGGAAATGCGATAAAGCTGCTTGTACCAAGCGAATACAAAAAAAGAGCTCACCTCCCCGACATTGAAGCGCTGCATCTGCTTCGTGTAATCAGATATGTTATCCGGTCGAATGTTCTTGAGAAACATCATATAGTCGTCGGAATGGTACTTGGTCATTTCTTCGAAAGTGGCCGGGGTTGGCCTCTGAGCAAAATTAACGTTGTTTGTTGGTCTGGATGGTTAATGGATAGAACGAGAGATACTCACATAAACTTCAAGCTTGCGATAAAGGCCATAATTAAGCAGTAGATTGTGGGTCATACGTATACGATGAGGTTTCATGGGGTGTCCTTGCCCATAGTAATAATTGCCTATGTCACCTGAAATAGTACACATTTAAGAAACAAGCGCAAAGATGTGGAAACACGGAAAACAATATGTCATGGCGCCTGCTACCATAACCATTGCGATGCTAGAAACTCGCTTCACTTTCCCGATTCCGCGCCGAGAAAGGTTGGTGTGGAGCGTTACCTCCTAGTGGCACTATCGCGCTCACTAGAGTTACCACAAGAGTCATGTGGTTTCAGTTTTCTGTGCGGAATGCGGACCTCTAGCATACAATATCGAAATTGCTGCGGAAAGATCGGCACTATTCAACTATTACTACCCCAGTTTTGCGAAAACAGGCCGGATCTTGATCGACTTTTTTCTACGGGGGCAGATTTGGCTGAAAGTTGGGTTCTAGGGGTAATTCGACCTCCTGAACACGAATATCACATCCACTTGGCCTGAAAGTGCCTGGCGCCCGCGCCACAGGCGCCAGTGATTTGGGGCATTTTGGCGCCGGCGCCTGTGGCGCGGCGCCGAGCGGTTTCAGGCCGAGCGGATGTGATATTCGTGTTCAGGAGGTCGAACTACCCCTGAGCACAAGTTGTCTAGGGTAGTTTGGCGCCGGCGCCTGTGGCGCGGGCGCCAGGCAGTTTCGGGAGGAGCGGATGTGATATTCGTGTTCAGGAGGTCGAATTACCCCTAGAACCCAACTTTCAGCCAAATCTGCCCCGTAGAAAAAAGTCGATCAAGATCCGGCCCGTTTTCGGAAAATTGGGGTAGTAATAGTTGAACAGTGCCGAAAGATCTGATAAGGTATTAAAATATTGTCGTATTTTCGAGAAGCTATAATAATATGCCAGGCATAAATGGAGAAATGGGAAACTTACTTTTGATATGACTGAGGAACCTATGGAAGTTTTGTCAGTTATTCAGAGAGTTCCTCATTTTCGCGATGCCGCAGAACGTTGTTAAAATCTTACGTGAAAGATGAGTAGGTGAAACGGTGGTGTAAGGTGGAGTTAAATTATGCAAAAGAGTCCGAGTGACTGTATTGGACATTTTTACTGCTCCCATGGTGAGATACACCGCTTGCGGATTGATGGTGACCTGACCTATCGGGGGACCTGCATGACTCCCAAGATCAGAGACGCAGCTGCAGTTGCCAAGGTTTCGAAGATCAGGTAGGTTGGGCACGTCAAGTGTTTTGGGGATGACCGC